ATCATCAGTTTCCGTTTTTTTTTTTTTAAACAAAAAAGGTACCGGAAAGAGTATGCTACTGCAAAAAATTATTACTACACTCAGGAATATGACCGGTAATGATGCCGTGGCGGTTACTGCGACCACAGGGTTAGCTGCTCTCAATATTGGAGGCACAACTTTACATTACTTTGCTGGAATTGGTCTTGGCCAAGGGACTATACAAGAACTTGTTAAAAAAGTTCGTGATAACAGATCAGCCCGTCAGAGATGGATAGATTGTAAAGTCTTGATTATAGATGAAAGTACGTGATTTTTATTTGGCATTGTAGTATAATATTTCAATAATAGTAATTCAATTAATTTTTTTTTTTGTTAATGATAGTTTCAATGCTCGACGGGGAATTGTTTGATACACTCGAAGCAATTGCGCGAAATATCGAGAATAACACACGACCATTTGGAGGGATACAGGTGAGCGATTGATTGAAATGAAATATATACAATTATACTAAAAGAATTCTAATAAGGTGAGAACTGTTTCGTAGTTGATTATCACAGGAGATTTCTTCCAATTGCCTCCAATATCGAAGGATAGTAGAGCGATTGCTAAATTTTCCTTTGAAGCACGAACGTGGAAAGCATCCGTTAAGCATACTATACAATTAACGCGAGTATTCCGTCAAAAAGATAATGGTAATATTTCTCATAATTAATAGCTTTATTTATAAACTAAGCGAGCTCTAAGGCAAAATATTATTCAAACAGAACTCATCGAACTTTTAAATGAGATGAGAACTGGGAAAGTGTCAGATCGTTTCTCGGAACTTATTGTGAGATTAGAAAATGAACCGCAATATCCAGACGATGGTATCAAACCTACGGAATTGTAAGCAATGTCGTTGTAGAATAAGTATTTTATTTCGATTATATTTAGCTTCTTTTTTTTTTATTACTGATTCGTGCAGATACCCGAGAAACGATAACGTGAACAGTGCCAACCTTATACAGTTAGATAAGATTCCGCATAAATCTCATTCTTTCTTTGCGGTTGATTGGGAACCTATGAGGATTGGACAGCTCCGTATGCTCGTAAAGAGTTGCCTGGCTCCACAAGAACTAAAACTTAAACGGGACGCTCAAGTCATGCTTATTAAAAATTTGAAAGATTATAATCTTGTTAATGGAAGTAGAGGCGTTGTCATAGGATATCATTCTAATTCAACTGCTCAAGATTATTTTAAAGGGGAAGAAGAAGGGCTCGAAATAAACGATTTACTTCCAATAGTGCGGTTTACGGATTCGAACCAAAAGATTATCGTTGAACCCCAAGAATGGACCATACCTGGAAATGGAGGAAAAACAATATTGGCATCACGTAAACAGGTATATAAGAATAAATTTTATGTCAAATCACTTAATAATCGTTAATATTATTTTCGGTCTAGATCCCACTCATTCTTGCATGGGCGATAAGCATCCATAAAAGTCAGGGTCAAACTTTGGATCGTGTTAAAATTGATCTCGGGCGTGTATTTGAGAAAGGTTAGTATGGTATGATTATAAAAAGCGGTATTAATTATTTTTTGTAATGAATTAACATTAGTAACTGCTTTCATATTAAGGTCAAGCATATGTGGCCCTCTCCCGCGCAACATCCACTGCTTCTCTCCAAGTATTGAACTTTCGTCCTTCAAAAGTCACTGCACATGAGAAAGTGAAGGCATTTTACGAGTCACTGAAGAAACATGATTTGGCGAGTCAATGTACAGACGAAGACAATGATTCTAGTTTTACTTCGGTTGGATTATAGAATTACAGGATTATTACAATGCAGGATTTCTTAAGTTAGTAAATAAGATACATGATTTTTAAAAGCTTATAAATAAAAAATTAAGTTACAAAAAAAATCTCTTTACAAAATGGTAAAACGAATAAAGTTTATTTTTTTTAGTTAAAATTTATCTTCTATATATTAAAATCTTTTGTGTCACAAGTATGAATAATTCGATTGTGTACCAATTTTTCGTCTATTCTTTATCCTATTTCGAAGCAACGGGTTCACACCTCGTATTTAGGGATGGTAAAAAAACATTTTTCACCGTTTTAAAACATGTGATGTTTATAATCTTGATATGCTGTTTTAAAATTTAATATATTCTGACCACAGCATCACATGTTTTAAAACGGTGAAAAATGTTTTTTTACCATCCCTACTCGTATTGCTAAATCTCTAAAGTCAACCAATTTGACCACCTTAATTCTGGCCGATTTTTTTAATTTTTAATTAAATGTTGGACGACATATACCTAAAATTTGGCTGCTTATCGTTATCGTTATACGGTAATAGTGACATGTTGGTTTAAAAATTTCTTACCT